TTCATGCAACATATTTTTTTGTATTTTTAATTAAAAATAAACAATCACAGACAAAACTACAAAAAACTATCCGAAACGCCACGCAGATTCTAAAGATTATACACAAAGACAATTTATTTTATTTTGATTTCTTTTGGAGTAATTGTCGTGAGAGCAAAAATCACGTGCTCACGGAGCTTATAAAATAATCATTTGAGTCGCATATAAATATTTGGAGGGATGGGCTTACTAGTAATAGCAAGTTAGTAACATGTCATTGCCCAAAATTCAGAGATAAAAACAGTTTGAACATATTGATATCTGTGAGTACATTTCCCTTTCCACTTCACCGCAGGAGAAGAAATGGCGGAGCAACTGGAATCAGAAGAATCAGGCAACTTGTTTACCAAAATCATAGCAATTGCGGCCGGCGAAGCTCATACTCTTGCTCTCACTGGTAACTGATTTTCTTTTTAAAAGTTAGCTCTTTTATTCTTCAGGAATATGTATTTTTCTGAAATCTGTGTTATAATTTGTAAATGGATAGCAAATGGGGATGTGTATGCTTGGGGTAGAGGAACATTCGGCCGACTTGGTACCGATTCAGAAGCTGACCAGTTATTCCCGGTTCGAATCGACTTTGAACCGGCTGATTCTGATGGAGACAAAAAGAGGGTCAAGATTGTTGGTATTGCTGCTGGTGCTTATCACAGTCTCGCTGTTGCAGGTAATTACTCATTTTCTCCTTTTATTGGATAGTTAAGTTATATTATTTCAACTTTTTTCTCAAACTTTGTTTTTTTATTCTTTCCGCAAAGTTCAAACTTTTTCCCTGTTTCAGTTTAATTTATTGACATATCGCAAATAGTTAAAGTTTCGATTAGTTTCAAAAAGTATTTTAATTTGGCAGTGAAATCTTGAAGTTCATCTCTGTATGGAAGTGTAATTTAGGCTGGCTACCCCCCATTTCATCAGTCACTGTATTGACAATGAATTTTTTGGTTGTCAAGAGCTTCTGCTGCAATTTGCTTTTTTTTTTTTGGCTTTCCCTTTTGCTTTTTCTCTCAGAATAGTTAAGTTGCTCCATAAAATGTGTGTGTGTGTGTGTGTGTATATATATA